AAAAAAAAAAAAAAAAAAAAAAAAAAAAAAAAACACATAGTAAAACCAATACCTTCTCAGCTTCGCATCGAAGCTAAAAAATCCCCTTTTCCAGTATTCACTAGTAATGTGAATTACAAGTAATAATAACGACACTACTTGTAAAATAATTTTAGTATAATTTAATTTCTGAAATAAAAAGTAATTTTATTTTAATTTCAATTAATTATACATGGATATTTTGAAAATTTTCTCGTTCTTTATTTTACGCCATTTATTTATATAAGGTGTGATTTGTATATTATGTAATTGTTTCTACCCGTGTAGTTTTTTAAAATGTAGTTAACCATATTATCCCCCACAGTAATGAGTTGTCAAATGTATCGATGTCTTTTTATTCAATATGTTATCTTAAAATCTTTCCGCCGAAAAAACTTAAAAACACGTTTATTGCTTTTTTTAATTGAATAATTTTATATTATTTTTATTATTAAAAAATCTGAAATGTCTTTGGCGTGAATATTAGATAACTGTTCGCTTTTATTATTAAATATAGTTTATATTGTTTTTACACACTACGACTTAATATTTGGAGTTATAGCCTTAACCTCTAAACTATCATAAACAATTTCTACTAATATTTCGGTACTGATAAATATTTTATCACAAAATATGCATCTTATCAAATAATGTTCCAATTCGTATGTACCACCAAATTGGTCACATCACTCATATTAAATGGATCAGCCCTTAATTTATGGCGTTGAGTTTCAAGTAACTTGATAGAAAAGAATTCATACAATTATAATTCTTAATAAAAAATATTTTTTATTTAGGCAAGATCATTGTGTTCTCAACATGCTGAAGTTGATCAAGTTAGTTTTTTAATTGGCACACAATCATTGAATACTCAAAATAATCAAGTACATTTAGTTAAATTACAAGAAAATTCTAATACCTTAACATCACAAGTACATATTTTTGTATATTTAAAAAAATAAATTTTAAATTAAAAATTTTTTTTTCACAAGGTATATGAACATAATTGTGGAGAAATCTGGTCTCTATCAGCTTCAACAATAAATAAGCAATTAATATCCACTTGTTATGCTGATACAGAAAAAGATTGTGAAAGGTATTCTACACTTTGGCGGTTACCTGAAGAAGATGGACAATTAGAAAAAGTTATAAGTTTTCCAACAGAAAAATATGGTATGGATATCAAGGTATGGCTCATTTAATTAATTTTCTAATGTTCATTTTATTACTAATAAATTTTGAAAAATAACTTTTTTTATGAAAATCTGAATATATATTTTTTTAATATTCAAAGCAATCAAATTAAATTTAAATTGAATACATTTGTGACAGTACATCTACTCATATCTACAGATTATTTGAATAATTTATAAAAGCCTTCATTATTAGGAAATACCAGTTTTCAAATAATTTCTGAAAGATATGATAAATAATAATTATTTATATTTATATATATAATTATTATATTCAGGGATGTTTAGCTAATAAAATACTATCTTCTATGTGTAAAATCTTGATATTTTAGAACTTATTTAAATACTAACTATTTTAATATGAATTAATTTAATTATTTATTAAATTCATCACTAATTAAAAATAATCTATAAGAGTATTTTCATAATGAAAATCATTTATTTTACAGAAATCTCAATAATTTATTTTTACAATTTTGTACATAGAGGTTTTTCCACTAGAACAACAATATAGTATAATTTTCTTTATATAAAGTTATATATAATATTTTTTTTTGTGAATTTGAATTTTATTTATCTTGATTTTAATACATTTAGCTATTGCAATTAGGTTACTTCCTTTCACCCAACAAATGAATCATACATGGCATCAGTTGTTGATAATAATGTATTATTTTGGGATGTAGATGAAAACGGAGTGAAATTGGTTAGTAATGTTATTTTGGATGGAAAAGGTAAAATTAAATAATTATTCATAATTAAACAAGCATAACACTTTCCCAATTTTTTGTTTTATATTAGGACAACCTCGATTTACAACTGGGAAATGGAATCCACAAAGTGTAAATTTACAATTTGTTACCTCTGATGACTGCAATATTAAAGCATGGGATTTGAGATGTCAAGCTAAAATAGCTTGGAGTTTAGATGGGGCTCATAATCAAATTATAAGGTTTTATTTTTAAGGAAACTATTTATAAATAAAGTATTTATAAAATGATTGATAATTCTGTAACAATTATTTTTTCCTCTAAAGAGATTTTGATTTTAATCAAAATCGCCAATTTTACTTGGCTACTTGTGGAGATGATGGATATTCTAAGTTTTGGGATATAAGAAATACTAACAAACCAATAATAACTCGTTCTGATCATTCACATTGGATATGGTCAATTAGGTACTTAATTTAAAATATAAATTACAAATTGATGACTAAATTAATAATTTATTTTAGATATAACCCTGTTCATGATGAATTAGTAGGAACTGCTTCTAGTGATGGTCAAGTTTTAATAACTCGTTTGTTTGGTATATCTTCTGCAGCACTTGAAAATGAAGAAGATAGTATAAAAACATCATTAGATGATAAAGTAATAGCTGTATGTGATCAGCATGAAGATTCAGTTTATTGTGTTGAATGGTCTGCTGCAAATTCATGGATATTAGCCTCTTTAAGTTATGATGGACGCTTGTTGCTTAACAAAGTACCAAAAGATGAACAGTTGAAAATTCTATTATAAGTATTTAAAATATTTGTTGACTACTGTATAAAAAATATATTTTATCAATAATTAAAGTGTTTTCAAATATATCATGGTTTTTTTTCAAAATTATTATTCTAAGTTTCTGTTTGTGTTTTTAATGGCAATTTTATTAATTTTTAATAAACATTGGGAATTGAGAATGTGTCTGAATTTGGACTATTGCCTTCTGATGCAAATATTTAGGTTATATTTAAGACATGTACTAATGAAGATATTAAAAAATAAAAATTGATCACTTGCGGCTAATTATTTAATATTAAAAATTATATATATATATATATATATATTAATTATTGGTATTATTTTTTTGTGTGGTCTTTTGGGTTAAATATTTTTTATATAATTTTAATTTTAAATAATGATATTATAAAATAATATATATATTTATTTGTTCTTCTGGAAATAAATCAAAACAAGATGTAATTTATAAAACTTAGATATTCAAATACATACATATATATATGTTAAAAAATATATTTTAATAACTTTGAAGTATAAATTTTATACTTTAAAGTTAGCATTAATGTTATATATTTTTATAAAAAGAGTATATATCTAAATATTTTTTTTCATTGAGTGTACAAATTATTTAAAGAGTTATTTATAAAAATAGATAGAGGCATAAAGCTTTCATAGTATGAAGATTTGGGGAAAGGTAATAGACAGAAGAATAATAGGAGAAACATGAGTAACAAAGAACAGTTTGGTATTTTGCCTGAAAACTCAACAATGGAGCTAGTTTTTTGTGTAAGAACTAATAAAAAAGTTTAGGGAAAGAAGAAAAAGCCGTTTATGATTTATATAGATTTGGTGTATGTTAGAATACTGAGAGATTTCTTTAAAATAAGTATTAATGAGTAAAAAGGTACATTGATGTAAAAGAGGATATGTATCATGTAACTTGTACTGGGGTAAAAAGTGTGGACAAATTAACAGAAGATTTTGGGATAAGAGTAGTAGGGCACCAATATTCTGATTTTAGTACTTACTTATTTTCTTCATTGATGGATAAAACTACTAGAGAAATACAAGAAGAATAAGCGTGGTGCATGTTGTTCGCTAACAATATAATACTTAATACTTTAAGACAGAGAATTAAGTTCTGGTTGGTAAAATGCTGAAAAGTGTCTGGTGTATGAAAAAGAATTTCAATGAGGTTGGAAGGTAAGTTCGATAAGACTGTTGTGACTATGATTCAGAGTGTTGGGCGGTTGACAAGAGGTGTAGCAGAGATGGATTAGTGGAGTGACTAGAGATAGATAGGATAAGGAACATATTAGAAAGTATAGGTGTAGCGCCAATTGGGGATAAGATGAGAGAAACTAGTTTAGGATAAGGGTTGCAAATCCTAAGTAGTTGAGATAAATGCGAGAAAAAAGAAGAAGAAAAATTAAAAAAATAATTAATATTTGTGTAAAAAAAAAAACTAAAATTTTTTAATAAATTTCTTATATCAAAATTAAACGGAAATGGAATGTATTATACAAAACTAAAAGTATATTTAAAAATATTAATTAAAAATTATAAAATATTTAACTCAATAAACCTAAAAAAATTCGTGAATATGTATTTCAGGAACAACGTTGTTACCATGATCAACGCTTAACATATACTCATTATAGTCCATAAAAAGAAATATGGATTATTTCCAAATTTTTCTAAAGAAAAAGTTTTATGAAACAAATTTTTTAAAAACTTCCTTGATAGAGTAGTGGTTTGTTTAAAATATGAATATAATCTATCCATAATTTTAAGTCTTATATTCAATATATATATTTGAATGTAGCATTCATTTAGTACGCAAAAATAGTTATTTAAAGGTTTCAGTAAAGTATTTATAAAAAATTTTGAAAATGTTGAGTTTGTCATTGACTAAGCGCAATTTCCATATACATATTTTTGCAATTTTATTAATTATCATTTTGATACACGCCATCATTCTTACCTAGTGTGTTTATTTAGATATCACTAAAAAAATATGAACAAAATTAAAAATTTATTTTGTTTTTCAATATTAGCCGTCACATATGTATGACGCGCTAACGGTGTTATCAAAGGGCTGTATTGTTTGTGACAACAAATAAGCAGCTGTAACTCGTAATTCATACATGACACACTGCTTATATTATGCCTGAAGTATTAACTTGGCATTTTCACTTTTAAGTTGTAAAAGGCGGAGGTACCTGCAGCAGTTTACATTTATTCATAATTCATTTTGTTCCAGTTTTAGAATCGTAAACATTTTTACTTGTTGGCAACGTTTCTACATTACTGCTTACATTGCAATTATCATCATATGAAATTCTTGTTTATTTAAAATAAACTTGAGTGCGTCTTCCATGCATTATTATAAGTTTTCTTTATTTGATAGCTAATCAATAAATAATTTTTCATATTTATCGTTCTACGATATAATTTATGTATCTATATTTTTATACATTAAGAAATTCTAGTCACCGTTCTTGGTATTAAAATAAGAAAATTATTGAAAGTTTTTGCTCTACTTATAAGTATTGATTATTGAACCGTTGTGTTGATATAAAAAAATGTTGGCCAATGCAAAGAAATATTTGTTTTCAATCAAAGGATTTCAAAAGTAATGTACCGACATTGACATAGTTTAGTTTACAACAATCCAGTGTTTAGCTAGTGCCATCTTAATACTAAAATTTTGTTTATTATGTATTTAGATAAAATTTAATTTTACCTTAGATTGTTTAATATAAATTAGTTAAACTTAATACTTATAAATTAAATTTGAAAATTCTTTTTATATACTTTTTATTCACTTAAAAACAGTAAATTACATAATATTTTTACATAATACTGTTTTTATCTTTCATGAAACATTCACTATAATTTATCATTGGTCAAAAAAAAAAAAAAAAATGCAGTGAGAGAATGAAAAAAAAAATCAAAATTAATTTGGGAACTTAGTTATCTTATGGCTCTCTAATTCGAGTATTGTATTAATTAAAATAGTAATATCTACTTATCTGTTCTCTGTTACCATTAATTAAAATTTTCTCTTTAATTTATAAGTTTTACAAAATTATCTACACTAGTTTATTAAAATAATAAAAATTATTTAATAGTGTCAAAAATTTTGTTACAGATTGTCTTCCCAAGATTTTGGTTCTGTGGTACTTCGTCCTAGAATTAAAGAATTTACTGTAAAAAATGAACCTATATTAGGTAATTAAAGTCTGTTTACTTAACATATTAAAATTAAAAGTGTATTATTTATCATTAATAAACATATCAAGTAATAGTAACATTAAAACGAATATTTGTGTAAATATTGGTATCTTATCATATAATTATAAGAGCTATTACATTATTTGCTTAAGGTCAAAGAATCATCTCAACTTTAAATTTAATAACAATTACTAAATTACAAATATTACAGTTACCTTGTATACTAAAAACATATGTAATTTACTATTCTATTCATATTATTTGTATATTGTCTGAGTAATTAATTTTACCATTATATTCTTATATTTTCTCATACATATTTACTGAATAGTCTTATTTATTAATTAACTTCTCTTCTCTTATTTTTTTATTTTTAAATCACTTTCATCTCAATTTTTTTAAACTTACAGTTTACTCTTTAGTTTTTCTATAAATTTCTAGTGAGATTATCAGAAATTATGTGAACTGATCAGCTAGAAATTTATTATACCTTGATTTTTTTTTTCAAAACTACATTAATGTTCTTTCCTTATTTATCCAATGAAATCAATTTATTAATTGAAGAGACATAACATAAATTAAATTAACTGTTTTCTGTAATTTAATGAAAAGTATTTTTTTTTTTAGGATACACTCAGGACAGTAAAGAACGTAAGGAATTAGAAACTGAACTCAACAGAATTTCGAATACCATAGAAGATGTACCTATTATTATTGGAAGTGAAAAATTCAAAACTAATGATATTAGATATCAAGTCATGGTGTGTATATTATTATAGCTATCACTAGGTATACATTTTTAGCTCTTAAGTTATATAGATTGATGACTACCCACAAAAAAAAAAAAAAATTAATGTTTAGATTAAAAATAAAAATATTTATCCATTAATATAAAATTTTTATTATTTTTTAACTGATTATTTCAATTTTATAATAATTTTTTTTATGTAAAATATTAAGTTACAAATTAATTAAAAAGAATTTTAAACTTATTCAAGATAGGCCTTGTATTAAGTGATTCTTATTAAGAACTATTAATGTAATAAATATGATTTTATAGCCTCATAATCATGAAAAGAAAATAGCAAAATTCTACTATGCTTCATCTGTAAGTATTATTAGTATGCACATAAGTATAAGACACATAAAATGGTGCTTCAGTTATATATATATAAAAAAAAAACAAACAAAAAATAGGATTTAGTAGCAAAAGCAATCAATGTAGCTACAGAAGCACAAAGAAAATGGGATGCTGTACCATTAGAAGATAAAATTGATATTTGGCTTAAAGCAGCTGATCTAATGGCCAACAAATATAGGATGAAGTTGAATGCAACGACTATGTTAGGACAGTCTAAAACAGTCATACAGGCAGAAATTGATTCTGCGGCCGAACTTATTGATTTTATCAGGTAAAAATTTGAATTATTAAATTTTAATAGAAAATAAAATGAAATAATCATAATTAGTAAACATTTTTATATGTGTAATTTTTTTTAAGTTATCAAAACACTTATTGATAGTCTTTACAAATTTTTATTTATTTGATAGAAAACTAAGTTATCTGTTGTAACTGGTGGTAAAGTTGTTGGTACACTTTAAGGGAAAGTTAAGGGATTGTATTTCCCCTTTCAAATTATTTGCAGTCTTTTTTTAATTATTCGAGGTTTTTTTTTTAATATTTATTTATTATTTATTAAATATTTATTTAATATGAGTAAAAAAAATTTTGGTGACCAAAAAAAAAAGTAATAACCTACCTTATCCTCCAAAATTATTTTCTGGTTGCACTACTGGTTGAAGTTATTTATGCTTGTAAATATGTTTCCAACTAATAATTGTTTAAATAAACTGTGGAGTTATGAATTATTTTTTTACAGGTTAAATGCTTTTTTTGCTAAAGAATTAACAAAATATCAACCTATTAGTGAAGATAATAAAGTCACGTTAAATAGTTTACGCTATAGAGGACTGGATGGTTTTGTTGCAGCTGTATCGCCATTTAACTTCACTGCAATTAGTGGAAATCTAGCTTATACCCCTGCATTAATGGTAATATCAAAAAATCTAAATAATTATACACTTTAATAATTTGAAAATAGAGTACCTCAATGGCATCAATTTATCTTTCTTATTCAAATTATATTAATTAAAGATAAAATATGATAAATAACATTATTTTTGAATTTTTTGTTGGAAATCAGATCATAAATATACTTTAGCTCAGTTTAAAGAACTTTATGTTCCTACTACAGTTATTCTCTTGATGTTTATTTTTAAAATACATCAAGATCTAAATTATTATAATAGTAAATAAATTTTGAGAGAGTAATTGGAAGCTGTATGAACAGTTATGAAAATTAATGTTGGGGATGAAGAGGTAGAGGAAAACAAAAAAGAGATGGAGGGATATTATTGAATGTGATATGAGGACAGCTGATGTGTGCATAGATGATGTGGGAGATTCTGTCTAGTGGAAGTTTTGGATAAGGGTGGCCGATCCCAAGTAGTTGGGATAAAGGTGAGGAAAAAGAAGAAGAATAAATGTTTTGTTTTAAAGGCAAAAATTAATATTTTTTATCATTTTATTTTTATAAAATTGTGTTGGTGTTAAAGGCTTATTAAAAATAATTAAAAAAAAAAAAATGTAATCTAGTTGACATTTGATCTAAATTACCTTGGTTTTTCTACATACTTATTAGTATACTTACTTTAGGGATGTTCAGTATTATGGAAACCATCAGATACCGCTTTACTGTCCAACTGGGCTATTTATGAAATAATGACTGAAGCTGGTGTTCCAGCTGGTGTCGTAAATTTTGTTCCTGCAGATGGTCCTGTTTTTGGTGATACAATAACAGCATCTTCAAATTTATCTGGAATCAATTTTACTGGATCTGTCCCGTAAGATATTATGAAATAATTCACACAATTTATATATAGTTTAGTCAATATTGTATGATGCCTCAGTGTAATTATACCAAGGTTCATTTCATTTGGTTGAGCTTTTAGATTTTACCACTTTTTATTAGTAGTAGTTTAAAATAAGCAAGAATGTTTAATTTTTTAATTTTAATAAAAAAAAAAGTATAAATATATTTATACTTTTATCATGAACAAGTAATAGAGTTTTTAAAATACAATATAAAATTATTTTTATGACCATAGCAGATGTTAGTTAAACAATTATAAAACATAATCTTTAATATTAAAATAAAATAAATGAAAACAAACTTAAATTAAATTAAATCTTAAATTCTATTAGAATATTAAATAACAACAATCAATTTTTCATCATTCTATTTCCCTAACTTAAAATGCTACAAAAGGTAGTTCTTAGCTAAGCTAAAGATTGACAAGATGGGTATTGTGGCTGGCTTAAAGATCAGACACCATTAATAAGAAAATCACAAAAGAAATCATGTTTTCACCCTAGGGGTCAAACCCACAATCCTGTATGCTGAAATGAACATTTTTATACACTAGCCCCGGTTGACCCCTTATTAAAATAATAAATGTGTCATTAAAATAAAATATTCATTAATATTTGTAAAATTTGCTTATTTAACTATTATTATATCTTATATTTGTATTATAGAACCTTTAAACGATTATGGAAACAAGTGGGTGAAAATATAAATAACTACAAGAACTTCCCAAGATTAATTGGAGAATGTGGTGGTAAAAACTATCACTTTGTTCATCCTTCAGCTGATGTAGAATCTGTTGTTAATGGTACTATTAGATCTTCATTTGAATATTGTGGCCAAAAATGTTCAGCCTGTTCTAGAATTTATGTGCCTCAATCTCTTTGGTCTAAAGTAAGTTTAAATATAGTTCTTAAATAAAATATTAAATTAAAAATTATATTCTTATTATCACACAGATTAAAGAAGGATTACTAGAAACTCGCAAACAACTTAAAATAGGAGATGTTGCTGAATTTGACTCATTTGCTTCGGCAGTAATTGATAATAATGCTTTCAAACGTATAAGTGGGTATATTGAACATGCAAAGAAAAGTTCTAATTTAAAAATTATTGGTGGTGGAGAATATGATAAAAGGTAATACTTTTGTGTTACATGAGTGTTTTCATGTATTATTTTTTTATTATATAGAGAAATATTTCAAAATTTTCATTATTGCAAAACTTATCATAAATTCCATATGACTATTTTTTTATAGCAAAGGATATTTTGTACAACCTACAATTGTAGAAACCAAAGATCCTTTGGATAAGATTATGATAGAAGAAATATTTGGACCTGTATTAACTGCTTATGTGTACAATGATTCGGAAGTTAAAAATACCTTGGACCTTGTTATAAATTCCACTCCATATGCTTTGACTGGAGCAGTGTTCTCTCAAGATAAGTATGTTATTTTTTAAAATTATATCCCAATTCTCATTATTTGTATTTTAATTTCTTTTATAGGAGTTTCTTAAAACAATCTATTGAAACACTTAAGTATTCAGCTGGAAATTTTTATCTTAATGACAAATCAACAGGATCTGTAGTAGGACAACAACCATTTGGAGGAAGTAAAATGTCAGGTATTATAATTATTAATTACTAGTAATAAGTAAATCTGTATGTATAAAATTAAAATTTTAATAATCCAGTTTTTAAATTTTTAACTTATTTTATGTTTAACTTTTAAAATGCCTTCTAATTATTGTTTCATTTTCTTTAAGGTACTAATGATAAAGCTGGTGGACCTCATTACATTTTAAAATGGACATCTCCACAGTCAATAAAAGAAACATTTGTACCGTTAACAGAATGGAAATACCCATATATGAAGAATTAGAATATTGTGTTTAATTTAGATCTGATTTTTTACAGTAGTCATCTATAATAAAACTGTGATATTGTTTGAATAGCTCTTCTAAGTTTAAAGAGGACAAGAAAAGCAATCTCGGATTCCTATATTTAATATTATATATTAGAAAATACTCAAGTATTGCATTTCATTAGGAATTGTTATAAACTCAATAATTATTTATAGAACTTCAGTGTTTGTTTTTACAATCTTTTTTGACATTTTTATTTTTAATTTTCCAAATGACGTTTTTGTAGGAGTGTTTTATGTATTATATATAATATTTTATTTTAGTATTATGATAAATTCACAGTATTTTTAATTGTTATATTTTTAAATTCTCATTATTGAGTTAATGAAAATTAATGAAAATAAATGTACCAAATGTATTTAACTCTAAATTGTTATTTATAAAATTGTATAACTTTTATTAATTATACTAAACAATAATAGACTTGTTAATTTCTAGTCTTGTGTTTTAATATCTAGAAAACAAATATTAGAAATCTTTGATAACATTAAAATTAAAAGATAAAAGTATATTTTTAAATTGTATATAATTAGTAGAGTTTGGCTTTGAACAACACCTATGATTAACTTCGGTTCATATTTACAATATTTCATTTAAAAACAAAATAGTTTTTTTTATATAAATATACAAATATTTTGAGTATAACTATAAAGTAACAAATCAATATTATTTTTGAAAATCAATGTCACATGTTAATGATCAAATTAATATTTCTTTGCTTATCCAATTTTTTTCAATGTTTATTCATTAAAATATGTCTTGGCTATGATTACATATTTATTTTAAAATTTCTATCCATTGCTTGTGATGATAACAGATGATTTAATGTAGATGTACATTTCCAAAAAAGTTTTATTAAATCTGGATATACACAAACAATAATAATGAGTTTTAAACTCGTGTGTTGCTACTATTACTTTTGTTTCATTATGTATTTTAAGTAGTGATTGGCATTTTCAAATATTTTAAACTATCGAATAACTATTCGAAATGTGTTTATACAACCGAATAGTTTATTTCTAGCATAAACTATTCGAATATATTGTGTAACTATCGAATATTTTTACTATTTGAATATTTTTTTAATGACTATTGAATAGTTTGATAGTTACTATTCGATATTTCCTATCACTAATAAAATTTAAGTGCACAAAATGCTTAATTTAACCAAACCATAGATCGACTTTAGGATAAATAGTGTTTTAACTTAAACTAATATTTTTAAATAGTAAAAATATATTTTAAATTGTCATTTTATTAACCTGTCACTGTAAATCTAATAACAACTTAGGTAAATTACAAAATCACATTTCAAAGTATTCGTACAAAACATGTTTCTTCCTTATAAAGTAAAAAAGTATCTTATTTTTAAGAAGTATTATATCAAAATTTCTAGTTGTTAAATGTTAAGCTATAATTATTGTTAACTAACAAGTATAATTTATAACACTTATTTACAATTTTTTACAAGTACATACATATGTACATTATTTAAAGCAGTTTCAATTAAATGTGTTAAACATACAAACAATTTTTATTTTATTAGATGTTTTGTGTAACTGACTTAGACGCGTCATAGTTGTTCGTCGCGATTTAACGCAGCATTATCATATCCTTCATTACCTATCTGGGAATTAGACGGATCTAATCGAGCGACATCCACATTTACGGCTTTTTCAATGACTGTAGTTGTGACGGATGAGGGTAGTCGTTGTCTTTTAATTTGCTGTTGGTCATTTGGAGTAGGTAACGTTAGAGTATAAGACAAAGGGTCGATGGAATCCGTACGACCGTCTTCGATTGTTGTAGTCTTCGACTTGAACGAATTCCATTTCACTGAATTAGTGCTACTTAGTCTTCGCGTTACGGACATGAGTATCACGGGTTGATTGTAACCAGTGTTAGCGTCACAGCTTTTGCGTTTGATTAATGGTCGAAATGTCCTCTTCGATCGGTTGGTGAACGAGTCCCTGTTTACATAAACTCCGTTTAGTCCTTTGATACTCGAATGACGTCTTGGCTGTACACTATTAAAAAAATAAATAAAATTGATGAAAATATTATTGATAAAACATGTATAGACTGTTAAGCGAATTATTTCTTATTTGAAAAATATAATTAGCTTGTACAATTTCCATTTCACATATTGGCTATCACAAAAATATTTTTTTTAAAAAAAAAATGTTTGTTTAATATCGGTAAGTTTCACCATTTAATTGCGCTAGTAAAATATAAATAAAACTAAGTTATAAGTCACAATGTATAATCTTCATTTTTTAGCTTTTAGTTTGAAACATAAGGTTTTCAAATAATTTAATTTTCTGCAATCCATAAACACGGGCAATTATTTTTAAAAACTGCAAAATTAATATTGATCAAGTCTCAATAATAAGAACGGTTAGTTGTATTAATCTACACCAGTTACTTGAATATCCCATAATTTACAGTATTGTATGGATTTTAAATAATCCTTTCTGAGCACAAATTAGAGTGGGCAATCTGTTTGATTTATTAGCTGTAAGTCCGAATCAGACATGTTAGTGTAATTCATCTTGCGTTACAAAATAAAGATAATCTTTGTATCTCACGGTGAAACCTCAGAAAACCCCTTAAAATATATCCTTTTTTGATATTAAGGACGCTTAAATACAGAATGTTCAGTAAGTAAGGAAATATGTTAATTGTTACAAAACGTCGAGAACAACAGAAACCTGTATCCTTATTTACTGAACACTTTATTTATTTGTAATAATCTCATTTTTGAACATAATAATAAGTATTAATTAATTTTATATTTAACAACAATATTCTGCAATGTTTTTAAAGATTAAATATTCTTTTGAAAATGTATAAATGTATAATGTAATATGTTTTTAAAACTAAAAACGAGAACGTACTAAATTCTAACTATTCTCAATAAAAAAAATTATATATTTCAAAGGCTAAAAACTATTCTTAATTTGATGTTTAAAAAACACATAGATGGTTGGAATATCTTACACAAGCTTCTACATAGTAAAAAAGTGTTGTTTTTCTTACTTAAAAAAATGTATTCAGGATTATTCTTAATGGGTTTCCTTTTATTTAATGTTAAATTAACTAAGTATAAAATTTATGTTGAGGTAATTGATATAAACACAAATTGGCTTAAAAACATTATTTTTATAAACCGTTAACTGTTCAAAGTCATGAATTCTTAAATAAATATATATTTCTAAGAATTATATTTTATTCCTTGTAGTATCAGAACTATTTTCTGTTAGGAGTCGTCTAGTTTTGGTAAGGATAAATGTTCAAAAGTTTAATTAGATACTCAATTTTTCCTGTTAAATATCAGCAGTACATATTGAAGGAAACAAAAAAATAAATGTTAAAAAAAAAACAATGTTTTCTTTGAATTTGCTTTGATGAGCAGTTAAGAACACTTAAAATAGAGTAAAGATCTATACTGTATTTATCTTTTTAGGCTATATTTGATTTTCTTCATTGCGTGTAGAAATTCCGCTACCCCAAACTTTACTGAACTTAATTTTGTTGACATATCAACATTTAACTGTTTTAAGCGCTATGCCAAAATAAGACTTAGTGACGCATAGTAAATCTGTGGTTATTTCAATGTTTACCTTTTTAGATTTTGGTATCAAATAAATCAATAAGTCAAAGGCGATTTTCAAGGATTTACATTTTATTCATTAAATTTTGATTTCATAAAAGAAAAGTTGTTGTTATATATTGTGTATACATATATATTAATAGAAAGTATAAATCATCACACATAACGTATGGAAACTAACTAAAGATTTATTTTCCTTTAATAAATTCCTAAATTTGTCTATGAAAAAAATTAAATAATAGGCAAACATTTAAGGAAAAAAGATGAAAAGAACTTGCGAAACGATAATTTCATAAAATGTATTATTATTCTTAATAATAATTATCAACAAATTTAATTTGTATTTATTTATTTAATGTTGTACATCTAAAACAAATAAAAACTAATAATAATAATCTAAAATAAAGGAGAATGTTGTTTGTAAAATAAATTACTATTTTTATTAAATCTAAAATATGTAGAAATTTAACTCGTTAGGTAAATGTCTGTAATAATAATAAAATTTTAGTTTGAAAAATTTTTGCTAAAATAATTTTTTAGTATCTCAATTGTTCCTTAAAAAAAAAGTTTCCCAGTTAATAATTAACATAAATCATTAGCACATAGCTCATAAAAATACGCAACTAATTTAATAAAAAGTCATCATTTTGATTTTCCCCTTACTGTTTCATAGTAATTACTATTAATATGTTAATATTTTATCGAACTTTATGTGTTAACGGATGACATGAAGAATGTACTCTAATGATTTATGTTTGACACTTGCCACCTGTTACATCTAAACAGTTGTTTATGAATAATATGATTCTTTTTTGTATATATGTTGTGTATAAGTAATAATATAATATTTAGTACGCTACAAAAATTCGCATAAAATAAACCTAGTCGAACATATAAATTAATTTTATTAAAATAGCCGATATAAATTCTACATACGCCATGATATTGAATATATTATATGTAGAATTATTAATTATAATCGTTACAGTATTGAATACCTTTTTAGACGTTTATTTAATCCATATTGAAAGTAGATGTGCATTCAGTGTACATATAACTTTGTGAACTATTACTGAGTGTATAAACACTAGAAGGCCATGAGATTGGGTAATGTGGTTGTTTGACACATAGAAATTAAAGGCTAATTTTTAGGTTCATTTTTTTTAATTTTTGACTAATGTTTTATTTTTCTAACTTGAATTTTTTTTTGTGAAAAAAAAAATTTAAAAATTTCAATGACCAAATATTTTAACTTAAATTAACCTAAAAATATATATTTGGTAATTTATTGTAAATAACGAAGAAAGATAACAATAAAAATTATATATAAATCAATTACTGATGTTTACATCATTAGATGTAATAAGTAGAGGTAGGTTAGCTTGGTTGATATTATAGGTATACATGGAATTCTTTGACATACTTTGGTACTAAGTGGGCCCTAATGATATTTAGCATATCAGAAGAGAACTTGGTTTAAGTACGCGCGTAGGTGTATAAGACACATTTTTCCTCAAAAATTATTGAAAATTTAAAATTTTTTTATGGAGAAAAATTGTTTGGTTTATTAAATGTGATAATAAAAAATTACTTTTATCTCTGAAGGATTAAAAATCTTTAATTTTAATTTTCTTAAATGAGAAAATCCATTTTAAACTTGATAATATGATGGAAGAAAAAAATTATAAAAAATAATGTTCTTAAATTTTTTATTTGATCAACTAATCATTTGTTACAACATGTTCTACGTTGCCCTTATTTTAGTTACTTATTGATTAACCTATTGTTTATTGATACCTATTGTCTATTGATTAATAATTTTATTTTTATTGTTTTACAGAAACAGTCTAATAAATTTTTCTTAATTATTATTATTATCTACCTTTTTTCCTAATGTACTGTTTTCTACCCTTGCTATACGAATAATAAAAATATAGCAACATGTTAAAGTTAAGTGATTTTAGTCCAAAATTATATTGTTTTTTCATTGTTTCAAATATAGCAGTCTTCATTTTTTTATGCGATCACATAAACCAATTTTTATTGACTAAAATATGAAAATTAAGATTGCGGAATAGCTTATAAGATAACAAAAGTTTTTTTAATTAATACTATAATAAATAATTTATTGGCTATCAGAACAGATTATTGCTGTCTACATTATTATAAAACTAAATCATTGATATATATTTTTACTTGAAATCAAAGTTTTAAAATAATTTTAAGTCGCAAATGGTTAATCGTATAAAAAAATTATTAAGTTAAAAAAAGGGGTTGTCATAAAAGAAAGTTATAATTAAGGATTTTTATTCCTGAAGGGAAGAAAAAAAATTATTTAACTACATATTATTGTAAAGTATTTGAACCTATATTTTTCCCCTTTACAAAAATTAAAATTGACAATAGATTTTGAGAAAATGAGAATCTTGCTAGATTTTAATTACTGTGTATATACTTTAAAGAATTATTTTATAGAAAATACATATATATATAAATTAATTTTTTTTTAAGACCTAAAATTTCGTTCTGATTATTGCTTAAAAGTAATTTAAAATATAAAATGAAGTTTGTTTGGTCAGTCTAGAAATTTGGAGCGCAATAAATGTCAAAATAGTAAAGAAACAAAGGAATATAAAATTAACTTTTAAATTTTAGACAGTTTAAGAAAATGTCTTATATTTATGTGGGTTCAATGAGAGTCAAGTAATTATCAATATTAAAATTAATGGAATTTTTCCCCTTATAAAAAAATATTTCCTTTTATAAATTAACCATTGAATTTCTTAGAATTAATATTATTTCTGTTGTTTTTAATATTAATGTAGCCTCAATTTGTTGTAAAATGGAAATGTTAATCCTTCCCTCTAATTAGTAAATAAAATCCATAGAATTGTGCTTGTACACTTACTGCATTATATCAAAAGCTTCATTAGTTTTTTCGTTTTGTAAATTGAATTTGCTATCACTTTTATTTGACCTAATAGATGGTCCTCGACTTCTTAATTGGTCTGGGTCTTTGTCTTCTTCCATTATTTCAGGTAAATACATCATCTGCTGATCTTCAGGTACCCTAAAATAAACGATTCACCATTATAAAGTATATATCAAATTGGTTAAATTAAATTGATTAGAAGTAAAATTACGCCATGTCATGAACTGATCCTCTATGCGTTTTTATTTTATAAGGAGCAGATGCACTAGTATATGGCAAAGTTAAGTCAAATTCATCAAAATAAATGTCCTTGACTAATGGCGGGGTTAGTCTAGTAAGAAAGTCAACTGCCAAGAACGCAACCTGAAAATATATTCATATGTAACTATATGATAATATAATAATATATTATATTAGTAGTTCAATTTTTACCTTTGTATGTCTATCAATAATCCAATTTAATTCGAAATCTTCCTCGTCATCACCAAATGGATTAATTAGTTGTTCAGCCACCTATAAGTTAATATTATAATGTTTTTATTTAGAAATTAAACAATTTCTATAGTTTTCTCAACAAAATTATGTTAATATTTTTATTAATTATAAATTGATGCGATACTTTTATTAAAGTTACTAACATTTTAGACATGTAACTACTTCAATAAAATTATTGTAACTAGTGTAAATTATGCATTCGCTTGTTTTTGAGTATCGAATAACTAACGTTGTTAAGTTTACTAATTACTACAAGATTATTTACTATAATTTTATAGCAATACCTTTGCTCTAGTGATATTGAAAAAATAATCGTAATAGTTATTGGGTTTTTAATGAAACCTTCATAAAGTATTAAGTTATTATCAAAAACTGTTTTATATTTCATGCAGATCAATATAAATTGACAATTCACGATAGCAGTCGAAGTTCAATATTGTACTACCAATGCAAATAACACATTACAATTGAACAATTTACCTTACTCTGTTCACAAATGTAATATTTAAAAAAAGTGTAATTATTTGCCTTGGAATTCAAATGATTAAGTTTATTATAAATCTTATGATCGTCTTAATAAAGGCATCTTGCAAAAATGATTGTTCTTTTAATAATATTATGATTAATAGGATTTCTTAAAGGAACCCCACAGGAATGAGATAGTGCATGTACAATACAACCTTTGCATTCAAACGTTTGTGTTGATTCATAACGATTCGACAAAACTTATTCTACCCGTAGAGTAGGGAAACCTGTGCACGTCTATTCAGGTATTCTATACAAGTGTTGGACACGGTCGAAAAATGTATGCCAGTGTTCAAGTTCTTTTACAAATCACATAACATTTTTTGATTCGATAATGTGCTGAATACTTCATATACTAAAAGCACATACTTAGTGAAATCTACATAGTGTTATTTTTTGATATTTATTGGAAGTGTTTAATATCAATATTAATATAATATATTATCTAAGAATTTTTGTAAATTAAGAATAAAATTGATTACTTTTAATAATCCCAAGAAAAACAAAAGCTCAACTATAGTAAAAACGGGAACATAAACGTCTAATTCGGTTTGTAATTGACTGTCGGACCCTTTCACATATTGTCTTCCCACTATTGCGGCCAAGTAAAAAGAATATGTTGCTATTGTGACGACCTGGGCAAAAAAAATTGTATATTAATCTAGTTACAAAATGTGCGAAATAAAAAATAATGTTTACAATATAATTTATTATATACCTGAGTGTAGGCCAATGGTATACTAATCCAATCATAGCTCCATAGAAGACCGCATTTTGATCTAAAATCATTGAATTCCTGCAATGATAAAATATATAATAAAATAGTCATATTAGAAACCTAAAAGCTGTTTAATGTTTCTTTTTTACTGAAGTATCAGTTTACACGAACAACGTCAACATAAATATTAAGTCACAAGTCTCGTATTGGAAAATCTAAATACGAGAAGTTTGTTTGATATAATACATGTGTTGTATCAATTAAGTCGAAAAGGAATTACTACAAAACTTATGATTACGATGTGATTTAGTATTATTACACATTTTAGTAGGTTATAATCTAAAAAAAATTATATCAACAAGAATAAAAAAAGACTCATTTTATTTTATACACTTTTTAAGCAAAGGCCAACTCAAACAAATGAGAACTAACCAACTAAAACTACAGAAGAGTTGATAATGTAGAATATTTTATAATAAGACTAAGACTTTTTCTTAAAGCTATTTTACTATAAGTAATTTTTGAATCATTATAATATTAATTATAAAATTGTAATTTAAGTTATATAATTGTTTAAAAAAATGTGTTGATGATACTTAGATGAAGTTACTGTTAATATTCTAAAATATTTTAAAGTATATTTTCGATTAAAAACAAAGAAAATTAAAACAAGTATGGATAATTTAAATGTATGTATGAATAAATATCTAGTTTTATTGACAAACTTTATTATTTAAATAAAAGGACTGCTTTACATTAAGGTGTTTTGTATAGACATACTTCATTTTTGAATGTTTTATTTTGAAGAAAAATTCATTTCTGCGAGAAAGATTTTTTTTAATTTAAACTTGACCATTAAAGTATGAGGGTTGGAATGATTTTTATTTTCTTAACTTAAAAAACAAATAAAAGAGGGAACATCTCTTTGACCCTTTTCTAAACTTATGTTTGGTTTAGCATTTGTATTGTACGTCTTTTCAATAAAAAATGAAAAGTTTACGAAAAAAACATTTCATTAGCTATGAACGAATTTGAATAAAACATTTTTTCATTATCTTTTAAAGTTAAACGGATATTAAAAAAAAAAAAAATACTTTAGAATCTTTTATTTTAACATGTCGTTGACAGCTTCATCAACGAAAAGCAAATAAAAAAATAACCTCTGTTGTTTTGACTTAACTATTATTCTAAATTTATGACCAAGAATGCATTTAAAGACTTATGAAAAAATCTTACATTTATTTTTCTTGTAATGCATAAAATATTTTAAACTAGGTGAAGTAAATTGTACGATGAATCTTTTTATATAAGCTTGAATTCTAAAACAATTTTTTATGACTATTATTATTTATAATCGCGACTTATAAATTATTTATCGTACATAAAACTTTACGGTTGAAATATTGTTTTATATAAAGAAAATGTTGATTTAAGATACTTTTAAAAACTTTTCACTTTTGTAAACGGGTTCAGTTTTTTATAAAATAAAATCTATTGTTATTTAATTGTAAAATTACACAGTGCTCATATTTATAATGAAAATAAATTAGGTAAATAAATCCTTAAGTCTCCATGTTTTTATTAAATAAACGCAATGCATAAATGAAGTTACCTCTGGATAATTAATCATGGAGTTATTTATCTTTCGGATATTTACCTTTAAAAATTTAAATATCCTTTTGAAAGGATTTATTCGTCTAATGTCAAATATATTTCGGTTAATCGCTATTATATTGTACTCCCTTCTATTTATTAGTAAATGGTTTGATCATAAATATTATACAAATAAAAAAAAACTTTGCTTAAAAGTCATGTTTTCTTATTCCGTTACATTTAGATATCTTAAATTTGATTATCGTCCACTGACTGACACACGTTTTGAGCGATATTTTTATATTAACCCTCCGTAAGGGGTACACTGAAAAATTTATTGAAAAAATATATTCCAGTATAAAAAAATCATGTGTTTATAAGAAACATTTGAAATATTTTATGTTTTACATACTTCAGTATATTTTTGTATGGTTTATTACTATTGCTGAAAAACTCTAAAATATTACTCAGTTAGCTAATGTTTGACAGGTGAATGTAAATTGTAAATAATATATTTTAGAAGCATATCCTGGTAAAATGAAACGTACTAATAAAAAAAGTAATGGGATTTATGGAGTTTATGGCGTTTATTGTAATGCCAGTTAATGGGATTGCCAGTCATTCTCAATTTGTGTATTATTTTTCAAAATAATATTTAGGCGTAATGTGTAGGCTTGATTTACCTCCATTATAAGTTTCATTCCTTGTGGGTCGTCAATTCTGTTAGCTTTTCTCGCTTCTTTCAGTAAATGCGTGAACCATGTACAAGGTATCCAATAGGTGTTGAACTCTATGTGTGGAAGCGACTGGAATATTTCCATTTCATCTTCGGTCATGAAACCTACGAAAAAATTCATCAAGTAATGTTATAGTTATTTCATACTATTATGCATCGGATTTTTTTTAAATTTTACCCGATTCAACGACATGATCCAGGGTGGGGAAACGCTTTTTAACCGATGAACTGATGGAACGTAACACCATTATTAGGGTTAGTATCAGGTATCTCATTAGAGACCTTCGTATCAACCGCCCTTGTTCGTCATTGCCATCAATATATAATGATATGATGTGCATTGCTCTAAGACAAATTAAGTTTTATATTAATTTTAGCGTGACGACCCTTTTGTTTTACTAGTAGGCGGTACCTACTTGTCGGGCCATGGTATCGCCAAATATTGTTTCCACCATCTTTTCGCCACGTAGGTAACATAAAACCCTAAAATGAACGACAGTGGCAGTTGAGTAATGAAGGCGTCGCAGTACGAGACCATTCTTTCAAAATCCCTGCAAATGACCAACTAATTAATTTAAAAGTAACATTGATAATGATCAGCTATCGTGAATGAATGTGATTGTTAGAAAGAAAAACTGATCTGAAGTAATGTGTCGTTTAAGGTCTCTTCAGTGTGTTTTTGTTTTCAATTTAGCAAGGTTTTCCTGCACTAACGATAGTTATTAACGTTAACGTAAGAAAACACATCTCAGCAGAGTTGTGCAAACGATTAATATTCTCCTACGTTGACCTCGTCCAATAAACGACCGAAAAGCTCATTTATAAATTCAATGAACTATTCACCGTGTCCATAAAGTTACCCTCCAAATGATTTGATGTATTTTAGGATATTACTTGACCATTTGTTTTAAAAAGGTTCATTATTTACCCACGCGCAACATTGAAGTTTAATAACGTTGAATATAGGCACATAGCAATTAAAAACAGACATCTGTAGCTTAATTTCCGCGATAGGGTTTCGGTTTAATTAACATTTAATTAACAAATAACACATCATATTTACACAACTAAAAAAAAAACGAGCGTTTTCGCTCGCAATTTTTAATGGGATTTACAGAGTGAACAACAACAGTTATAATTTACATTGTCATTAGCTCTTTTATAATCTGTACACTGTTTGGGATAAGCAAAATAATTTTAAAATGAAACAACAAACAACTTAATTTTGTTGATTACTTATTTATTTCAAAGCAATTGCCATTACTTATTCAAAAACTGATGAACATGTTATGATAAATTATGTTTTAATGAAATGATTTTGATTCGAAGAATAATCTTAAACGATGGTGATAAATACATTTTCACCAGTTTATGCTTTATTTTAAACGAAAAATAAAATGTAATTTATAAATCTGCCACAACAATAATATTATAATTTAAAATTGATGATTATAAAAAATGTTAATCATAAAATATTAAGAATATTATTGATGCTTTTTAGTTAAATTTTCAAATAATTGCATGTTTTTACCCTAAAATTATAGATAAATATTTTAAAAATTATTACCGACATTTTTACTAATAGAGTAAAACAATAATCAATAAAATTTTATTATTTCAACAACGGTATCGTATATGTTAAATAACAATAGTTGTCCAATATCCTTTTCATTGCCTTAAAAGGTATTTCGTCGTACTTTTGGAGTATATTTAAAATTGTTTTATCATAATACTCGTAACACATATATATACTCATATAAATGTGGTTTTAAGTACGTTTTCATGTTTTTCAAAAATATTAATTTAAAAACTTTTCATTTTAGGTATAACAGGTAATTTTATATTTTTATAAGACTACATCATAAAAGTCAATCTAAGTTTATAGTTGAGTTTTAGTAGCATTATAAAGATATTTTCGTAATTTACAATGCATTAAAAATATTTCTTTGTAGTTATTGAAGAAGGAAAATTTTCAAGTTCAGAGTTTATTAACAGTATTTAATACTCTTAAGTATCTTTAGGATAATTAAAATTTGTTTAAAAGTTAAATAATATATTTGTTATAAAATTTATACTTTAAATAAATGTATTTAATTATTGTGAAATATAATATAAGTTCTAAATATATAAATGGTAAATGATATTATAAATAACGTTATATTCAATTTGAACTTCAATGCAGCAATCTGTCCAATTTAAGGGTTTCATAAGTATTTGACATTAACCTTGAGTTCCTTTTTTTTAGTTCTCTATTCTTTAAGATTTCTTTGTGTTACAAAAATTAAGAAAAATCAAAGATTACTAAGAATATGTGTTCGCGTCATTATTTAGTTTTCAGTAAAAAAAAATTGTCAAATGCTCTCAAAGCTTTTTAAAAGTTGTTATTTTTGTACATTTTAAGCGGAATTAGTCGAGTTACAGCTACTTAAATTTTCTATTAATATTAATAATTAAATTGCTTTTTCTTTTAAACTTTTTAATAAATGAATATCGGTATGATTTTACTAACTTTTTTTCTAGTAAAATTGTGAAAAATGAATACGTTTTTGTCATAGTTATATGTAACTGTATGTAAAAAATTAATTTTTAAGTAAATATTTAAATTTTTGTTAAATATAAATGTAAAACTTAACCTGGATATATTATGATCATTTCAGAGGAAAATTATGAATACAAATGTATTTTAATGTAATGATTAAGTAGACATAAAATTTTATAACATCGTGATGAAATAACAGCTCCAGGTCAATAAAACATGTTTTCTTTAACAAGTTATCATGTAAAAATAATCAGTAGGAGTATTTTATTTATGGCTAATGCAACGAATCTGAACTCATATAACCTTTTCATTTCAAAAAATATAGTTTTTGTTTCAGTCTATCGGACGGATAAGGGTTATAAAATTAAATTAAATAAAGTAAACAATCTCAAGCTAGTTTAAAAAATATACTAAAAAATGACTATTTGAAAATATATGAAATCCATAATGACGTACACTTAATTAATTTGTAGGATTTTATTAAAATTAGTAAAGCGATTTTCTTAAAACGATGTCTCATTAATAAAGTTTAATTTTGACACATTTATCTAAAGTTTTTTTAACATATAGTTATTTTAATGTATCATCTACAAGTAACAGGTAATATTTTAATCTGAAAAAAAAATCTATAGTTATTACATTGTACTAAAAAAGAAATTATATGTATATAAATTTTTAGTTGTATAGTAATATTTTAGTTATTGATAACTGACTCCAATATAAATATTTTAGACTTTGAATTAAATCTCTTCGTTTTCAAAATTCTTTGTTTCATATATTGATTCATTTAGTTCGTATCTACCTTTATAAAATCACTCTCTAACGCGATTAACTGTCTCTTTATCTCTTTTTTTGATATTTTCTTGCGGCTTCATTACTTATTTAGCTGTTATAAGCATCTTATCCTCATTTCCTTTTGAAATATTTACCGATGAGATATTTTATTTTATAAATACTTAAGAAGTCCTTGTACACCAGTGTCTCATATACCCTTAAAACTTGTTGCACCATTTCTACATACTGATATTTAAAAATAATAACAGTAATAAATGATAATTGTCGAGCTATAATAATATTATGTATTGTAAGCTATAAAAAAAAAAAAAAAAATTAATACAAATATTTTATGTTATTAATTGTAACATGAAATTATGGATGTTTAAGTAAAAAAATGTAATAGTTATTTTTAATTCAATTCTCTTACGTGTTTATCATGGAGTATTTAATTAATATGTTAATAAATTTATAATAAATCAACAAAACTATATTTATTCGACGTTATCTGGATTAAAATAACAAGAGAGTTTGGCTATGAAAAATTAAGCCGTATTGACACAATATGTTTAAAGAACATACATGTCTTATATATACCGTTAAAACTGGATTTCCAAATACGATTTGCATGGAACGTTACATTTATTGTCGGTGCCCAAGTTCACTAAAGGCAAAGTGATATCCAGTTTTTACATCTCGTAGGAAATAGAACGCATTTAATATTTATAAAATAGTCAAAAAATATTATTGAAAGTATCTTAACATAGCAATATGGTTGTAGGCAAATAACTCTAATTGAATATTTATTTTAATTGATGAATTAACGATATGCGTATTTTCACTTTAATAGATTATTTTTGGTTGATTTTTAAGTTAAATACTAGAATGTATGTAATAATTATACATAAAAAAGAAAATACAGTTATGAGTGAAAAAATGTTTCATTTATATCTTTTGTAACTGTTAAATATTTGACGGTCGACAAATAGTTATGTTTTGCTTTGCGGAACGAATATTATTATAGTGCTTCGAGTTTATATGTTAAAGTACCATGGAGTTTACAATGCAACTTTGAAAAATTATGGTAAAATTTCAGAATTTCGATTTGAAAATGTAATGTATGTAAGAAACCGACGTCAGTTTGCTAAATAGTTGTTTGTATAAAGAAAAAACAAAATTTGATAATCGTAGAACCGAGTGAAGATCAATTCTGTGACAAAAATTACAATGGTTAGTAGATACTAGCTAATTGTGGAAAACTAGACTTGCCCAGTATTGAACAAAAGAACACGTCCGAAAATCATCTATAGTAATCAGTCACGGATCAAACTAAGTTAGAGTAACTAATGCGATTTCGTGTTTGTCAAAAACAGAGCGTCAAGAGTGGTGAGCAATGCGTTCAAAGCCGATCCGATGCGAACGTCGATTCAAATTGTTGTTTTTTTGATGGTTATTGGTGTCACTAAAATCCAATATTATTCTAATGACGACCGTACAGAGATTTCAATGGGAGACATTTGAGAATGCAAATGTAGTCGGATTTCAGCCTGTACGCGTAATCCAACCATAAAAAAGAAAACAATACACCCTAAACGTCAGCAAACTTTAAATAAATGCACGTAGCTTTCGAAGAACTTAGATGACAAGGGACATTTTTTACAATTACCATCGACGTAGAGTCAATTTGGTTTAAATTTCGCTCGTCAGCATATTAACCGACAGATTCTTTTACGTCGATGGCAAATTTTGTACAGGCTTTTGTTATTGTTAGATCAAAGCAAAAACCGCCATACGGTTTTGATGTCTGCGAACTGCATGTAACAAGCGCGTCGTTCATTATCCTTTAGTTGCCTTTATAATTTAATATACTGACGTGTATCTGTATATTGTGTGTAAAGTATTAAATTATATTTCAGTTGAGATAGACGAACAAACTCAAGTTTATTTAACTGATGAACGAATTTTGCAAGCTAAGTACTCCTAGGAGCCTAAACTAAAATTAAATTTCTACTTTTTGTATGAAAAGTTTTACTCGTGTTTAAAATAATAAATGTTACATGTTTTTGATCGATGAACAGATGTTTTTGGGTAATATGAATCGTCTAGAGTCAAAAGCCACGACTTTAAGTTTTTAAAATATATTGAAAAACTTATTTTTGAAATGCTATAAAAGTTTCGCAGAAGAATCTTGATTTGAAGTAATATGAACTTAAGTGCTTTTGAAATTAAACAAATTAC